CCACGCGATCTTGGGCAACATCTACTATCTTGATGCTGACCATCATTCATAATATTCCATTCAGTTATATAATCTGTATAATTATATAATTGTTTAATCAGTGCTTGGCTCAGTATGGGAATTATGGGACTTAATGCCTTTTTGCATGTCTCAGAAGTGGAAGAAAGTATATGATCTGCTCTTCCTGCCATAGTGCAAACTATGTACTTGTGATGTGGTAGGAAGAAGCAAATCGAAACATTATAGGAAATGTGTCCCATCCTAGCCATTTTCTTAAAAGATTACTTAGGTAATCTTAATACTTAGGTTATAACTTCAAACTACTGTTTATCAAGTACTTGATTGCTATTAATAAGTCATGTTTTCAAGGAACTTATTACATTGTTCTCAGATGACTCACTGGGGCCTGTGACAAAACAGAGGTAGAACCCCCATGCTTACGTCTCAGTGCTGCTGAGACTGACTGAGGGAGGCAGCGGAGGGACTCTTGCAAACTTGAGACTGAGGAAAATTACTTACCAGAAAGAAGTGTCACCTGTTACCTCCCACCTGCCCTCTTACTCTTAGAAAGAAAGGGTGATGGTAGGCATAGGGTATTTACTGACTTGACACCAGTGTTTCAGTAGCTTAGAAATCAAGCCTGTAATTGAAGAAAAACTGAAATGGTTACTTAAGGTTAAGACACATAATATAAATTTTTAACAAATAGTTGTGGTCTCATAGTGAAATTGTGATAAGGATTAAAACTTACATTTTCATAAAGCACTCATTTCTGAACTACGATTTTATAAAACATAGATTCATTATTACTCAGTACCCTGATTATTCACCAGGGTTAATGTGACCATATTTAAATCTTCGGAGCCAATGTAACTTGCCAGCCCTGAGGTTCATTGTATGTTAGGAATAAGTGGACTTCACAGGCAATGATTTTAGTGGTTGGATGGTTATTAGCTTAAGAAAATTTTTGTTTTCTATTCTGGAAGCAAGGTATTTTCTGACATTTTAACAGAATATAGAGTGGAGAGGTAATGAAGCACAAAATAAATAAGATTAAACTTCATTTTAGTATCCTGATGGGTTTGTTTTTTCTTTCTACGATATACTTTAAGAATGAAATAGAATGGCTTAAAATATATTGTATTGATGGGAAGTAATTAATAGCATCTGGCCTAGGCCTAGGACAGGCAGCATTATCACATTTATAAAATATTAAGAGAAAACAGTCCTTTGTGTACTTAGGGAAATTGATGTGTCCTTAACTAGGTAAATTACTACAGCTATGTTTTAAAGTTGTTTACGTGTATTTTTACTTCTATAAGATATTAGTGATTTTAATTCTGAAATTTTATAAATAAACAAGAGGTTCAGTGCATGAAATTCAGGCATGGGTAGGGTCCCTAGGCCTGGCCAGAGGTCAGGGCCCATCAGATTCCCCGACTCCCTGCTTCTTCCTTCTCTTGCTCCCACAGCACCCCTCTCCCCCCACACTGCCAGTTGCCTGCCCTGTTCTGCACCGCTCCCTGGTGGTCAGCGCACATCATAGCGAGTGATGGAACTCTCTTCTCCTGATTGAACTTTCGAGGGGACACTTTGCATATTAGCCTTTTATATATAGGGTTCTAATAAAATTCAGAATCAAAACAAATCTGATTATTGAAATTTGAATGTTGGGAAGAACTTGCCATTTCTAAACCAGGTTAGTTCTGGCATTGAAATAAACACACATCTTTCTACAACAGTTCAAACCCAAGCAATTTACAACTACTTGGTAGAAATGTGCTTCTATTTTAAAGTATTAAAATATCCCTGATACAGATAGATTTCCCAAAACTGTGTCTTTCTTGTTGTTGTTGTTGTTTTTAAGGTGTACTGAGAATCAATGAAAGGCTGTTGAGACTGAATGAAGCATTAGAGTTTGTGTTTTAGCTGGAGGAATGAATTTCTCTGTAGAATCCTCTGTAAACCTTGTTTTGAATGGCGGTAAATACATTTGGAATGTTAACAATTGCTTTTAATTTATGTTGGGATTTTTTTAAAAATGTGTTTATAAATAAAAGCAACACGGAATTTCTAAGGAGCTGAAAGACACAAAATGAAATTTCCCACAGCAATTTTTTTTCTTTGACACTCTGCATATTTGGGTCATAGATTTAGTCTTTTCCACTCTATGCCTATTTCTGCTTCTAATTGGATCCCTTTTTTACTCTCCTATTATAAGTCTTTTGAGATGCTAAGTCTGGAAGAGACAAGATGCTAACCTTCTAAGAGAAAAGCTAATTTGTGGATATTTATAGATATACCTAATGGAATTTCCAATGAGTCTTTAAGAGAATTTCTCCGGATGACACAGGAACATTCAGTGCTGATACTAATTTATATTTTGTCAGGAAACCCAAGTTATGCTATAAATATACTATTCTATATTCTAATTTTTATGGACAGGCACTGTCAATATTTTCTTGCTTACTAGCGATCATAAGACTACTGTTCAAATTAAATTACAGTGGGCAGTTAGGTCACCCATGGCTAACTTACATAAGAAGGTTAGTCATTTGAATGAAAACTTGTCTGGGCCACAAAACCACCACATTTCCACATAAAGTAGGTGCATCATCACTGTTGAGGTAATCTTGGTATTTTCTCCAAAAATAGGCCTATGTTGTGGTAAAAATCTAATCCAATTGTTTATCCAAATCACATTAAGAAAATCAGCTTTTTATAAATAAGTTTTTGTTGATTTCAGAGAAAGGAAGGGAGAGGGAGAGATAGAAAGCTTCAAAGGAACTGACTCTTAATCCTTTTTGACACAATAGGAGATTATTGCCTATAATTAAAAGTCATATCAAAGATGATTTTGTTGCCTGGTTGGAGTGGCTCAGTTGTTGAATGTCCTGGTCAGGGCACATGCCTGAGTTGTGGGCTCAAGCCTCAGTAGGGGGCATGCAGGAGGCAGCCAATCAATGATTCTCTCTCAATTATGTTTCTGTGATAATTTTAGGAATTTTTAAAGTATAAAGAAAACTTTAAGGTAATTTAAGATGCTTGGAAAACAAGAGAATTAAGGGTGGAGTTGGTGTGGTATACAGAAGCTGTAGATATAGTGAATCCTGCTATGCACAGTGCAGAGGAGATTAGAAGAAGCAGGAAAATAGGGGGAAACCATTGATGAACTTGTCCAGCCAAGTCCTAGTAACATTTTGAAATTATTTTAGAGGGTAATTGATAAGTTCCCCAAAACATGTAGAGCAACACATTTTAGAGAGAATAGGTAATTAAGTCCAAAGGAGCACTGAAGATAATAATGGACACAATAAGGGGCCTTAAGAAGATAAACATATACCTAACCTATTGTAATTTCTGACATGTTTACTTTCTATAGAACTCAGGGTATAGTTATGCAAATTTGAGTAATTAAGGTATAGGATATCATTTTAACTTTCAATCAGTCAGTCAATACCAGTAATACAATTCTGTGATAAAAAGACTGGAATTCTGTAGAAAGTAATAGTAATGAAAACATGCATCTAATAGATAAAATGCTCTTTCTTATGATTCACAACTCTCCTGCTCTCAGGGGTTTTTGTTTTTGAACTTCTTTGGACTTAATTAAACAGTAATAAGTAATGTATTTTAAATGATTCCTGCAAGTATATCCTGAAAGGTGATAGTCCTTCATATTTAAAGATCTTTTAGTATATATTGAACTGCCATAAGTCTTATTTAATGGATCTAATGTATTCTTATGATTAAGATATATTGTAAGGTTTACAGCAGCCCAAATGAGTAAATAGTTTATATGAAAAAATTTTAAAGTGACAAAGTAATGGTAACCACTTGGTATTTTATAGGGAAATGAGACATTTAGAAGAGTGGAGACATTTAGCTTTGACATTGTATACCTTCATCTCAGAGACATGATGGTAATATGTTTAGATCTTTCCTTGAGGAAATTGCTTCCTATGATTTTAAGGTATTACTGGCCTCTAGTGGCAATATACTGTAGTTTAAACAATCCTAATTCTTATGAGTAACTAGAAAGAAAGCTTTTTTAAAGGTCTAAGCTGCCAATAACTTCACTTTCTCAGTTCTAGGTCAACAGTACTCTCAAAGTGTGAAAATGGCAGCATCGTCCTCTTAATGACCAGGGCCTCTATCTTTTATTCTTGTCTCTGAGTCCCCTTTACTCTTTATTTTGAACTAAAGGCCTGGTGCATGAAATTTGTGCATGGGAGGATGTGTGTCTCTCAGCCCAGCCTGCACCCTCTCCAATCTGGGACATCCCCCTCAAAATCTAGGACGGCTGGCTCCCAACTGCTCAGCAGCCTGCTGCTTGCCCCTAACTGCTTCTGCCTGTCAGCCTGATCACCCCCTAACCACTTCCCTGCCAGCCTGATCGATGCCTAACTGCTCCCCTGCCAGCCCAATTGCTCCTAACTGCCCTCCCCTGTAGGCCTTGTCCCTCCCAACTGCTCTCCCTTGCTGGCCTGGTCCCCCCAACTGCCTTTCTCTTCAGGCCTGATTGCCCCCAACTGCTCTTCCCTGCTGGCCCGATTGCCCACAACTGCCCTCCCCTGCCAGCCATCTTGTGGTGGCCATCTTGTGTCCACATGGGGGGCGGCCATCTTTAACCACATGGAATCTGCCATCTTGTGTGTTGGAGTGATGGTCAATTTGCAGGTTACTCTTTTATTAGATAGGATGATACTTGTTTAGCTCTGAAGTGACCTTTCATTATTTTAGGGCATATACAGTAGTAATTACTGGTTTGTGCTTATGATTATAGAGTGTTTCAGCATACTTCTTTTTGTTAACAGTTTTTATTTTCTTTTTTTAAACAGTTTTTATTTTCTTAAAAGAAAGTTAAGATTTTAGTTTACCATTGAGATTCATGTTTACACTCATCTCTAATTTGATTTTGAAGAATGTTACATTTGAAATATTAGTTTGCTAAGTAGGGTAATGACTCGTCACTTTTGTTTTTCATATTTGTTACCCAGATGTGAAAGGGCCACCTACGCATCGTCTATCTTGTGGCCAGTCACCCTACACTGATACGACAACATGGGAGCGGAAATATTGCATCCTCACAGACAGCCAGTTGGTGTTGCTCAACAAGGAGAAGGAGGTGAGAAGGATATTATTGAGAAAAGCTACTTCCCTTTTCTGAACAAATTCCTGACTTAATATAGTTTTTATTTGCATTTATGAAAACAAGGCTGTATGAATGATAAACTATAGCTGCATGAGAGAGCTGCCTGGCAGTTGCTGTAGCTCTATACAAAAGAACACAGCCTCTGTCAGTACAAAAATGGCCAGCAAGGAGGACGCAAGGGAAAAATCAACACTCTTATCCAGACTTCTGACTTTTTTTTTTTTTTTAATATATTTTATTGATTTTTTTACAGAGAGGAAGGGAGAGGGATAGAGAGTTAGAAACATCGATGAGAGAGAAACATTGGTCAGCTGCCTCCTGCACACTCCCTACTGGGTATGTGCCCACAACCAAGGTATATGCTCTTGACCAAAATCGACCCTTAAATCCACAGGCCGACACTCTATCCACTGAGCCAAATCAGTTAGGGCCTGACTTCCGACTTCTTGTCGTTGTTACCTACTGGCCAAACCTAACTTGAAGTCAGAGGAAAAGATTACTCTTGTTGTGTTCTGTAGAGGTTTGCTTCCTGAAACACACTGCAAGGGAGAGGACAGAGAGTAAATCTAGAAAGGCAGACAGAATGTAATTAATGCTGTTCTAGGTGAACTTTCTGTCCTTCTAAACAAAAAAGTAAAAAACAATAACAACAGAACCCCTTGAACTTACCATATCCTATGACTACTTTATCAAAAAATTCCACATCCAAATAATTCATTTTATTATTGGTGATTTATCACATGATGCCATTCTGATTTAGTAGGACCAGTAAGACATCCTATTTCCAACCCCCACAACATAAAAAAAATAATGAACATGATCTTGACAAAGGGATAATGGAAGGGAAGAAGAAAAGAAAAGATCTGATTTAATGAAAGATCTGATTCAATGAAAGAGAAAAGATCTGATTCATTGAAAAAGATCTGATTCAATGAAAGACACACACACACACACACACACACACACACCTATAAGTAGAGTATCAATATAGTAAGTAAAATAATACTTTAATATTATCAGATTTAATTTTATTAAAATTTTAAAGGGTCCTTTTCTCAAGCAGTCTAGTATATGTGGACTGTTTATATTAAGTAGATAAATAATAAAAATTGGTAGAGTGATATTAGTAGAGATTTTTAGTTACCAATTTGAATAAACAGATCATTCAAAATGCACATTTTAACCAACCTACTCTGTTTTCAGTTTTTTAAAAATCACAGTTATGAACAGATCATTTATCATCTTTATGCCCTTTCTTACATTTTAGTCAGCTTAGTACTGTAAGAAATGTAATAGCCTAAGGATAGATAGTATAAACTGCCTTATCTAGAACCAAAATATACTAGGTGTACCAGTTAATAAGGTGAATTATTTTCAATAGATGGAATTACACATATGTTGATATATATGCAATTTGACATGTTATTTTGTTGTATTGACAACAAGCTTCAAAATTTCAAATGTCAAATTTGCTGAAGGTGTTAACATCATAGATATTTTTATACTTAAAAATGTCGAATTTTGTGCCAAAAAAAGAGCATTTGGGGGAAGTTATAATTCATTACTTTATTTTGAAGAAAAGTGTTGCGGAATACTTCAGGAAGCTTTTGGTGAACATGCTCCATCCCAAGATACTTGTGAACGCTGGTTTAAACACCTAAAAAGTGATGATTTTTATGTGAAAGACAAAGAATGTCCAGGTGAATTGAAAAAGTTTCAAGACCAACAATTACAAGTTTTATTGGATAAAGATGCGTATCAAACTAAAAAACAACTTGCAGAAAGATTAAACGTTGCTCAGCAAACAATTTCTGATCATTTACAAGCAATGGGAAATATTTTACAGGAAGGAAAATGGGTGCCATATGAACTGAACAAAAGACAAATGGAAAATCAAAAAGTTATCAGTAAAATGTTGCTTTAATGGCATGAAAGAAAGTTTTTTTATTTATTTATTTATTTTTTTATTTTTTTATTGAATTGTGACTGGCGATGAAAAGTGGATTTATTTTGGAATCTCAAATCATGGGTTGATCCAGGTCAACTATCAACATTGACTACAAGACCGAATTGCTTTGCATTTGGTGGGATCAGGAAGGTGTGATGTATTATGAACACCTAAAACTAGGTGAAACTGTTAATACTGATAGCTACCGACAACAAATAATCGATTTGAATCACGCATTGATCATGAAACGACCAGAATGTGCCAGAAGACACGCAAAGTAATTTTGCTTCATGATGATGCACCATCACACAGTTCAAAACCAGTTAAAGACACGTTAAAAGATCTTACCTGGAAGTATTAATTCATCTGCTGTATTCACCAGATCTTGCTCCTTCAGATTACCACTTGTTTCGATCGATGCACTTTCTGAGCAGCACTTTAAAAACGTATGAAGAAGAAGAAAATTGGATCTTTGAATGGTTTGCCTCAAAACAATAAAAGTTCTATTTGGACGGTATCCACAAATTACCTAAAAGATGGGGAAATGTGAAGCTAGCAATGGACATTATTTTGAATAAAGCACTTTTGATGTTTCTCTTGAAATACTCATGTTTTCTTTGATTACAGAATCCACATTATTAACCGGTACACCTAGTAATCCACTGGTTAGATATTACTGATCATTCGAATAATCCAGGCCTGGGTCCCCTTTTGTCTCATAAAATAACTGTCCATGATGAATAATTTTCTAAAAACACTATCTTAGGTACTTTATGCATTTTCATGCCAGTCATCTTAAGTAACCAGGGAACTCATCATCTCTCACTCTCTACTTTTGGCTCTGTCAAACTCCTTTTCTGTCTCTGCCGTTCACTCATTCTTCCCGACCTCTTGAAACCCCTTCACTCTGCCCTCTGCAGCTTATGGTCCATCAGCAGCAAACTCAGCCGTTCTTCCATCTCTTCCTGAAGGAGTCCCTTAATTTTTAGTCTCATGAGAGCTTATATCTTCCCTGAGGATACTGTCTTCTGTGAGGTCCTGTCAATTGTTGGCTGTTTTTCTCCCACAGCCCTCAGACCATGCTGCCTATAGTATTATAGTTGTCCTTCTCCTCCCATGGCTGCTTCCTGTCTGATCTTTCCCCAACCCCTTTACACCTTGTCTGCCCCTCACACCTCTGATATCCTTTCTTCCCCTTTCACCCGGCCTGAATATTATGGTGAATCATTGCCATTGCTCCCTTGCACACTATTCTCTTGCCAAGTCAATCAATCAAATAAATAAATAAATAAATTGCAATTCCCTCCTGTATCTCCATCCAGAACACCTGATCTAATTATGTGGCTCTATTTAAAAAAAAAAAAATTTTTGTCCCATAGCATTTGCCACTTTCTAAAATGCTATAGAATTTATTTGTTATGTTTATTTTCTTTCTTAACCACTACTGGAATGTAGGCTTTAGGGCAAAGATTTTTTTTCTGTTTTGTTCAATGTTGTATCCCTCAGTGCTTAGGACAGTTCTTGACACATAAGTAAATTCTCAATAAGTATTTTTAAAATAAATTTTGAAACAGCCAAATTATAAATTTGATTCCTGAAGATCCATTTTCTTAATATAAGTGTGAGAGGAGATGCATCTGTCCTTTTATCTTTTCTTTTTGTATTAAAAATGGCTTAACCCTATGTCCCCCCCCTAAAACTAGATAATAAAAGGGGATAAAAATAATCCATAAAATGCTTTTCTATTGTTGCTATGTGATTCCATCTGTATTTATTGAACATGTATTATGTGTGCAGTATTGTGATTGCAACGATGCAGGTTTGGGGACATATGGTAAATTAAAAGTTATAACTATTTGGAACTCCATGCAGGTAGTGTGTGCACAACATTGTGAATGTATTAAATGTCACTGAGTTAATTCACTTTAAGATGGTTAATTTTATGGTAAGTGAATTTCACCTCAGTAAATTATTTTTTCTTAAGATTACAATATAATCACAAGGAAAGATTAACTGAGATATTGTCTGGAGTGGGTTATGGTGTGAACGGGAGCTTGCCAAAAAAGGTTTTACAGAGAAATCTGTGATTAGGTCATATCCAGGGAGAAATAGGAGCTCACCTGGAGGAAAAGAAGAGAAGGATATTTCAAGTATAAGGAGACAGATCAGGAACATCTCTCTCTCTAGTAAATTGCAAAATGCTCAGAATCCTTGGAATACAGCTTGAAGAAAAGTGATAGTTGTCAAGAATCAAATGAGAAGTGCCTTGAAGGCCATCCTAAGGAATTTGGACTTAATTCTGGAAATGATTTGGACCATGGAAAGGTATTTGAAAAAGTCAGAGACATCATCAGATTTACTTCTTAGAAAAGTAACTCTCTTAATCATGTGGAAAATTGAGTGAATGTTACTGGAAGAAAATAGAAAGTTAGATTACTGTAGTAGCCCAGGTAAGGGATGAGCAGTTCATGAAATAGTTTGCAAAAATAATTAATGCATGAGACAGGTATGTTCTACTGTTATTAAGTTGGAAAAACTGAATTAAGTCTCTCAATAAGAAAATGTTAATCCATTGCTGTAACCACTATATAAGTGATAAATTTAATATTCTGTTAATTTCATTATAAGAAATGATTAGAAATATATATATTGTGTGTGAGTGTGTGTGTGTGTGTGTGTGTGTGTGTGTGTGTGCACGCGCGCACACGCTGTCACTATCAGCAGGAGTATAGCTCTCTCCCTCACAACTTTTCATGAACAAATTAGAATTTCTTGAAATAAGGAATTTAAGGAATTTCCTGTTAAAATTATTTTAAAAGGCTGTTTTAAACTTTAACAAATCATGGGGGTGTTTATTGCTGTGCTACAGAAATCAATTAAGAAGATTCTGTAAGGCTTTAAACTGAATCCTTAGCCAGGCACTGCTGGAATGTGGGAGGATTATATTAGTCTACCATCACTTGTGCATTCAGTGTGTGGGATCTTTTAATGCTGTCTCTTAACTCTGCATGTTTCCTGTCAGAAA